CCGTCCACGTTGTTCACCGTTAGGCCGAGGTCGGCAAAATAACATTAAAAAAACTTGCAATTATGACTTCATGTTGTATATTGTGATTGACATAAACAATTCTTGTTTGAGAATATTGTTCATTCATTTTGTGTTATAGACGTCATTGTCTTGACGTTAAAGGCTAGGTCGCTAGGCTTCAGAAACAACCCTCTTTTTGCCTTAGGGGTTAATAAAGAAAATATATCGCATTTCTTATACTACACGGAGCCAACACAACTGTACCACATGTTACAATATTGGTTATGGACTAGAACTGGAGCCAATAAACTAAGAAAAATATATGGTCTTTGCGTGGCCGAAATGGAGGCAAAAGTCGAGGCTAAATTTGTCCCCTAATAAAATATAAAAGTAAATACGTTTATTCTATGTATCATTAACAGAAATAAAGTTCTTTATGTCATAGCGACGAAATAAGGGCCGTCCATCCATGGCCACTCATCAGGCAAATGGGCCTTATATCACATTTAAATATCAAGTTTCGTTTGCGCTGAAATCACAAATGAGAAAGCTCAAATAGTACAGCGCCAATAGCTGACTTGTGTGTACGTCTCCGTAAATTCCAAAAATATTCTGTATTTATTGTAATAAAGATAATATCTCTGAACAATGGCGTGCTGTTCCATTCGGTGGTGTGGGAAAAATTGCGAAACGTCTAATTACATAACAAACAGAATTACATTTCATCGGTAATTAAATATTAAATTTGTAATTTTTCAACTTTCGTCCATTATAGCAAAGCTCAACTTAAGCTGGTCGATTTGAAGTGAAACAATTGACGACACCCGACAATTGTTTCGAATTCGGGTAGGCCAATCGGAGCGAAATTAAACGGCATTTCGTCTCAATTTCATTGTATCGAACATATATGAAGTATTAATTGGTGTAGTGAAGAACATTACCTACACCGCATATCTTAATCTGTAAGTAGATACTTACAAAATTGTTCTAAGTTATAAAACAAACATCTTTTCAATCTATAACTAAGTGTAAGTATCTATACACTCGCACTGAAGTCAGAGTGTACACAGGAGGCAAGGAGGAACGTAATTGTGTTAGAGCCCTTTGACACCCACCCTAACTAGGTTTGTACGACACTTGCGTACGGCGAATGCCTATTTCTTTGAGACTAGGTTAAAGGAATAATTATTAATGTAAAACAAAATTAAGTTCCGACTTAAATATATCTATTGGTGAGAAGGACATTAAAGCCATATTTTAGAATTTACATATTGTTACAAACATTGGTTTGGAATGCTGAAAATCACGCAATGGTAAAAGACATGGACTTTGTTCTTTAGTTAAATACATTATATTTGCCCTTAACATTTAAGGCGAATCACGGAGGAGACGCGGGAAAAACTGTTTTGCTAAATAAATTAAACAACGATCTTATAAACAATATACTATTAACATTGACTTACAATTATATGGACGTCGGGTCTGCGCTAAAAAGTGTCCGAATTTATAGGGCGTTAAAATCGTATACAGAGCGTCATTCACGCTCTAGTCTTCGTTTGTTCGACTGACAGCGGAGCAAGCAAAATTAGACAGTACTGCGATGACATTACAATTTAAATTCAACGTTTTAGCTTTTTCATATTCCTTGACATGTCACTACGTTTAAATTGGGTTACTTGGGACATTTTTTTCGTAGTTTTTGTATTAGACCCGTCGTCCATTTATTTGTAAGTCAATAACTATTAATGTTATTGTCTAAAAAATGTGCTAATGTGTTACACGAAAGGATGTAATTTATGCAATCATATCAAATCCTGAAATCGGGCAAAATGATAACAATAATAACGAGTACACTAGCACTAGGGAAACTTTGTATCGCGGGTGCCATGGACACACACATGGACAACCACAAATTACACCTAAACTCACGAGTGAAATAAATGTAAGCCATACAAATATTTCTCTCGGCCCGGGAATCGAACCCGGGACCTCTGCGTGGCAGTCCAGTATGGTAAAATGGTGGTATAATGAAAGCCTAAAATGAATTATTTTAGAACAAAATATGTAATAATGTACGTATTTTTATATAGAGATATTTCTCTGTGAGTATTACAGAGAACGTGCAAAATTTTGATTGTTAACTAAAGCCGTATTAGTTATTGAATTCACATTTATCCCTAAATTTGCAAATTGCCCAGCAGTTTAATGCACGCGCGCTGCCCTGTCAGTCGCCATCGGGCGTAAAGACATAAAAGTGGGCCTTACAAATATTTCTCCCGACTCAATAATCGAACTTCACGAACCAATAAATTTAGTCGTTAACTAATAATTACATGTAATTAAAAATAATTCCATTATTCTCAATAACATTAGTTCAGTTTTTTTTTAACTTCCAAACCGTATTATCTCAATTCTATATTTTTGCGTTACAACAGTGTTTAGGTTTCATGTGCGACATTAGTTTGTTCTTATACGTTCTTTAAAATATGAACCGCGTATTACGAGTCCAATGTTTCTTACAGGTGTCAAAAGAGGGTTGAAAATTGGTAATTAATTGTTTCGCAAAAGTTGCGGAGCAAATTAAATCCCCGGACGTCGACCGGCGGCAAGTGACAGCGGTCCGGCGCCTGACAATTTAATAATGGGGCACACCGGCAGCGTCGACAAGTCGCCTTCTGCACTCCCCTCATAGAATATTTTCGAAATCCATCTACTTCACACTTATATTTAACATTAGTCGTCCGATTTAGTTGTATTTCGTCGGTGTTTTGTAGAAAGGGCGAAAGCGCCATTTCGAAAACGTATTATTATTATTTTAACGACTGTTTAAAAATATTTGCTTCCTGTTTTAAAATTAAATTTTGGTTTTAAAATTTAAATTTGAAAATAGGACATAAGTATTTTAAAACAGTCGTGAAAAACTAAAACATGCTCCCCGGATTCTTTTTCAAAATGGCGCTTTCGCTCTTTTCACAAAACACCGACGATTTATCCCACTTGTAGGCTTACTGTCTACTACTAAGACTACTGCTTTGTAAAGATTAAAACTTTTTACGCTTTCGGGAATTTAATTTCAAAATATTCATACCCTTTGCAGAAAAAAGCGTCATGAAAGTCATGAAGATAATACCAACCTTGAAACAAAATTATATACATCTATCGCACTGCTCTTACAATAGTGTTGTAACTCAAAATACGTGAAATACGATTATACCATTTCTGAACGTAAAATTTGTTTCTTTACACGTCAATAAAATCATCATCAGTCATTAGAATACTGCAAAAAACCATGAAAATATATTTACTTAACCCAGAATGAGACAAACGTTTTGAAAGCAAGTTCTGGATAAAACAATCCTTACTCAAAAATATGAAATTATTTTTTACTTTTATTTTCAAATATACTTCTATTAGGAAAATAGGAGATGTCTAATAAATTATAAATAATCTTTCACGGGAACTTAGTAAATAGTTTTTCAGCTATTCTGAATAAATTCAAAACTAATTCTTCATTCAAAACTATTCAAAACTCTTTTTGAGTTAATAGACTATTATATTAGTAGTGCGATATGTGAAATTTTACAACACTCCTATTTAAACATAAAAAGATATCGACTAATTTCATTCGTAGAATCTTGAAACCGTTGTTCTGAAAAGTTGCAATTTTGCGGATGTGACCTTATTACACCAAGAGTGCGATGTACTTATTTCATAGTTGGATGATGATAAGCAATGTGCTAACTTACAAAAACTCGAAAATTCAGATTTTAATGCGATAGTGTAGATTGTCGTTTCGTCTTCTTCTTTATCATCTACTTAGTCAGTGGCAGTAGGTACCTTACGTATAAGCACCGGTAACGTTATAACTTCCCCATAAACTTTCCCAAGTAACATACTATAACTTAGTATTTGCTTAAATTTCGCATAAGTGTACCTTACTTTTTAACCGACTTCAAAAAAGGAGGAGGTTCTCAATTCGACTGTATGTTTTTTTTGTATGTAGGTATATTACGCGATAACTCCGGTATTTGTGAACCGATTTTCATGATTCTTTTTTGTTGGAAAGAGGGTATCTCCATAGTGGTTCCATTTAATTTTGAAGAAAATCATCCACCTCTAAGGGTGGCTGTTCACGCATGAAGATTCATATTTATAAATAGCGCCAAAATTTTATTACAAGCAGCAATTATTTTAATGGTTGATTTTGCTATTCATAGGCGTTTTTCTCTCTCAATATACTTTGAGAAATGAGAACCAATTTTTATAATATTTTAGTGGCGAACTAGGGATGAATCCGGGTTTGCGCACTACCCGGTAACCGATTTCAATAAAACATGGTAATCATATGTAATTCCATATACGTTTGAGGTCGGTTTTTTTAGTACTCTGTACTGAGATTATTGGAACAACAAATTATTGTTATTACTAATTTTACTTTTTTGTTAACTACTTAGTGTTTATTTATTTATAAGTTGTTAGCCATGAATAAATTTTTAAAAAAAGACAACATCCCATACGTCGCTCTGATCCCAAATTAAGTAGAAGCACTTGTTGTTATGGAAATAGGAAACAACGACGGTACCATAAACACCCAGATACGAGACAATATAGAAAAGTTAGTATAGGTGAAGAAAGTTCTAAAATCTCTCACTAGATGTCATTAGCGGCACCGATTGTCGAGAAATCATGTACAAAGATCTTTAGCAAAAACACATACGAGAATTTCGATAACTCGATAACTTGACCCGTAGCTCTGTTGGTAAGAGCAATAATATGGTGCAGAATGGTGGTGGGTTCAAGTCCAATCCGGTAAAAAAAAATTGTTCTATATGTTCGATCTTTGTATAAATAATCATAATAAAAGTTAGTTTTCTACGCAGACCTGGCCGGGGATCGAACCCGGGACCTCAGAGATGGCGATCCATTAAAACCGGTATGCAAGCCACTCGACCTCGGAGGTCATCAAATCTTTTTCTATTCTATTCAAATTGTATCCTTACCTGATAACTTGAAAGGTAATGAACCCATGAGAGGGTCCGGCGCGAACCGTGGCCCGAAGTGAAAAGGATGGAAGCCATGGTGTCGAGTCTTGGACCGTGGTTCCCTCGGCCCGTCCACCGTCACCTTGATAGCTTTTTGATAGGTCGCTACTTGAGGAGGACTCGTCGCCAGGGTTATTGACAGCGTGAAGGACTTGCCTGGTGGACAAAACATAATAGTTCAAATCAGAATTGTTGCGAATATCAGCATCTGCATCGGCATCCGCATTCATCGATGATGATATTCAATGCGGATGTTAGAGTCGTGACGTGACCTAAAACACACAATGGAATAAAGTACAAACCTTCCAGAAATAGACTATTAGCCGAAAAATCAGCCACAGAAATCTAAATACATATGAAGTGTCCAAGGAAAGAATGATGCAATTGGCTTGAGGAGAATTTTAGTAAAATACTTATTTTTGATACAAGTGCTAAAAGTTGGTCATTATTTACGAGTCTCGAAACTTCTTGGCGAGGAGAAGTGAGGGTCAAGACTCGAGACAAGTGAAAATTACAAATCAAACGATGTTTTTTAAATTACATTGAAAGTAAAATAAAACAGTATTTAAAAAAACTCTTTTTATTTCTTTGTCTGATAAAAATTCAGAGTACAATGCAACTGTTGCCAGTATTCAGCCACATTAAAATTACCATTTTAGTGGCGCGGCGCGCAGCGGTCTCTCGTAATACACACCTCCGGTCATTGTTAATACTCAATCAGCCATCTTAATTATATATAAAAATATATATTCTTAAATATATATACAACCTCTTTATTTCTATGTTTAAGACTTCAAACAATAGTAAATTAAAAAAAATGGGAAAGTAAAAAGGACTAGTGCGAAAAATTCAACTTTCGGCACGATTTGTAGAACGAAAAACACCACGTTTTGAGGAACTGTATTAAAAAATAATTTTTAATTTAGGGAACTTTTAAATGTTAGTAAAAAAGATAGGCACAAATACTACAAGAAATAAAGTCAATGCAATGTATGTACCGCAACGTATTCCATTTTTATTAGAAAAACATTTTGGAATTCATTTTTAACTTTTCTATTATTCAATCGCAAGCATTTTTATGACTAAAAGTAAAAGCTAAATTTTTACGATATCAAACCTTATTAAGCCTTTTTCTGATCTATGCAAAATGCGCTCAGCGTTTATCGAACTGGATATTAACTTAAAACGTGTCCTAAGTAACTTTGATCATTCTTTCCCTGGTCTCTACATATTTATTTGAATTTCTGTGAGCTCAACTGTTGTTTACAGAATATAACTTTGATAAAACTCCACGATTAAGTTAGGCAGATTTATAGTTTTCATACAGACCAATTCTTTTGTCACATGTCACGAAATCATTGAAATAATTTTTAACACAACACCAAAAAAAACTTTTTTCATAAAGATATATTCAGTGACGATAGATATTTTTCGCGTTTTTTAAATACATAAAATAAGCATCCGCTCACGTTAAGGTCAAGAAATCAGTATCCGCATCAGCATCTGCAGAAGTGTAAAAAACCTACATTAGTAACAACCCTGGTTCAAATCAATTTCATCTACATATCTATGTCCCTTGTCTGAAAGGAGACCCGTGCTCAGCAGTGGGACGTATAATGAGTTGATGATGATGGTGATAATCTATGTAAAGTCAACAGCATAACAAGTTATACACTTTTGTTCGAATATCGCCTCCAGTGCCACAGAACAAGATCCGTCTATGTGCTGCTCTCTGCACTTAAAACTTGAACGTAGATCTGTTTCGTGTTTAAAGTAGGATTTGTTTATAAGATCATTGGTAGGAATAGAGTTCCTTGTGTGACGATGCGACCTCTTACATCGTCATCCCACCGTTTTATCGCCATTTTCGAAGAAATAAATACATGTATTTGCGAAGAAATAAATACTTTTTATTATTTATTATTATTAAATATTAAAATGTTTTTATGCACGTTTTATAACGATGTAACGCGTTTGTGCAAATACATGACACAAATTTTTGTGGAAAAGTTCAAAATGTTGAAGCTACCCTAAACAGTTCCTAATACGTCACGAAATTTATGATAAACCTCTACTAGGACATCATCAGGCTGTCAAGGCTACACTGTAGTGTACAACCTACAGGACATGCTTGGGCGGTGTCAGCAGCCTACACTTGTATAGACCTACTTACTACCTGTCTACACCGCCAAATTCCGATTTAGTAGGATGCTGGCGAAGCTATAGCTTATTATGGGACATGTCAACTTTATTATTCATTATTTTGTGATTTAAATCACAAAGACATAAAGCTTTGAATGATACTGCAATCGTAATGAGAAGGTGCGCTTACCACCAGGTACTCGACTTGTTCGTGCCGTCACTTCATATTAAAAACAAAAAAAATTGCGTGTTCTTCGGGGTACTAGTCTGCTAATTCACCTTTTCACCTTTATGGTGAAAGAATTCATCATTGTAACACATGAATATCGGAGTAAGTTCTCTTTAATCTTGTATTTTTTAACGCATACCCTCATAGCCCCGCACTAGGGGAACTCTGCATCGCGGGTGCCATGGACACACACATAGACAACCACAAATTACACCCAAACTTACGAGAGAAATAAATGTAGGACATGCAAATATTTCCCCCGGCCCGGGAATCGAACCCGGGACCTCTGTGTGGCAGTCTAGCATGGTAACCGTTCGGCCACGGAGGCGGTTAAAATGTGTATGATACAATAAGTGTCCACCCCGCAGTGGACCAGTTTGTCGCGGCGGTCTCTGGATAAACAAATAAAATAATAAATTAATAAAACCCTCTAATGTAGGACTACCCATACCTAACGTGACTATTTTTTTTTTCCCTCAGAGCGGGACGCCCGTCAATATTTTTTGTTTTTAAAAGTAAAACACACGTTTGTGGTTGTTAAGACATGCTTAACAATAAAAAAAAATAAAAAAGAACTGAAAATGTTTAATGATCATTAATTTTTAGAAAGATCTAATCTTGTGTAGTCTGCGCTGGCTTTATATATTGTTCTAATAAAAAAGCGAATTCGTCATGAAATAAAAAAGGATACGCTTTTAAACATCCAAAGAAAGAAGTGAGAAAGAAATAAGTGTCAGTGTTGCGTTATATATTGTCTAAATTCCGATTCCAAAGGCAAACATCGTGGCGGCACGCGCGCATCCGATGGACGCCACAAATCAGTCGCGAGAACCCGACGCATACCGACACATTCCAACGCATACCGACGAATTTCAACGCATTCCAATACATTCCGCGATCCACGCTTGTCGCTTGCTTGATGATCTTGCCACGTGCTCCAAATGTTTCACGGGATTGTTGAAACCAATCCTCGGAACCCAATTCGAGTAATAAATTCTCAATGGTAATGCAATAAAAATATGGATTCTCAATAACTTCTTAAGATCCAAAAAACTACTCAACGTATGTGTGAATGTAATAAAAATATAAATACATGCTTCAGGCTAGGTAACTAACTATTCTTGATAGTCGTCTTCACATAGTCACAAATTCATTTAGGGACCAATCAACCCCGATTTTTAATCGGGGTTTAACCCAATTCTGGTTACAATTCCATACTTATTACAAATTTTGACGTACAAAATCATTATACCCTCACCCTTCTAAACTGGAATGCACTAATGATCACATTACCGCTTGGCGGCAGAAATAAGTAAGCTGGCTGTACTTGCCTAGACGATCTTTCACAAGGAGCTTTAATGCTGGTTAATGAAGAATGCTAATATGACAGCTTTTTTATGGTTTGACATATCTTTTTTTTATTTAATCAGTATCATTCATTTCAATTAGCTATGATAGATTATAAAAGAAACGTCAAGAAAAATACCTGTCCATAATTTTATTCTCACTCATTAGTTGGTCTCTACATATATTTTTTTTTTGTTTTAATAATAACGCACACATTGAACATAGCCCCGTACTAGGAAAAACCCTCTGTTGCGGGTGCCATGGACACATACATAGACAACCATAAATTACACCGAAACTCACTAAGAGAGAAATAAATGCCATAGAAATATTTCTCCCGGCCCGGGAATCGAACCTCTGCCTGGCAGTCCGGCACCGTTATGGTAACCGTTCAGCCACGGCAGTTAATATTCGTAATATGCATATGCGTAACCTTGGTATAATAAAGTCACATGTGAACATACGCCAAAAGTGCTTTTATCATAATGAAAATCATAAAAATAATACGAACCACATAATAGTAATTTGTTATGCAAGGCTGCAAAGTTGCGAGAGTACTTGTATTGAAGCCTGAGCAAGGGAAGGAAGCTAAGAGGGTTCAAAAATAGATTCTTGAGCATTGCGAGTGTTTCAAAGCACGAGAGGCAAAACAACTTTGCTGCCGAACGAAACACACAACTTTTCATCTCACTATAACGAGGAAAATGGTAGACGGAAGAAAAAGCAATTGAACTATAAAACATCAGATTTTTTTTAATTAGAAAAAAAAGTTTATCTTCGGATGCGTTCTGAATTTACACCTCATCAATTTTTATTCTTGCTTGTACTTTTATTTTGTGTGATTAAGTAATTATTGAAATTATTTTAGTTCTACGACGAATTAAAATAAATTAATAAACACAATTAGTTATTATTGTCAATTTAATGTCAACAATAATAATATATCAACGGATTTATATTACATAAATAACTAAAGTAGGACAAATCGAGTAGTTGAATAAGTTTGGTGCACCACAATCCATTGTCAAGTTCGAATTTCAAAAACCTTTTCCATACTACCGTGCAAAAAACGATTTTGCGCGCATTTCTATGGCATTTCTAATAAAAAGAAAACTTTTCCGAGCTAGTGAGGTGAAAAATAAATTACATATGTGTGAAATTTTATACCTCTCCTATTTAAGCATAAAGCTATCGACTAATTTCGTTTGCAGAATCTTTAATCCTCTCTCCTGAAAAATTGTCATTTCGACTTTAATACATCAAGGGCGCGTTATGTCGTGGATATTGTAGTCGGTGTTTTGTAGAAAGGGCGAAAGCGCCATTCCGAAAAATTTTTCAGGGAAGCATGTTATACGTTTTAATGGCTGCTTTAAAATACATATTTACATTAGATTTTGGTTTTAATTAAGTTTTAAAATTGAATTTCAAACAGGACGTA